GAAAAGAGGTCGTTTGTGAGTAAGCGGCACTCCAGGGGTTAAGCCATCTCCTGGTTGGGGCTGAGGGCTGTGGATTGCTCTCAGGGAGGAGAAGCGAGCAGTTTCGGGTGGTTTTGCAGAAGCGCCAGCTTGCAAGCATTATATAAGAAGGCAGTTCCTCAGTTTGTTTTTAAGACTCACCAGTCGAGTGGCAAAGTCTGTCTTCAGTATCTGCTGGAACCAGCGGGGGGCAATTCTTGGCATTAGCCTGCAAGAAGAATGTTGGAGTTCAGCGAGGGCCACCAATGAGTTGCTGCAGCTCCTCAGAAATCTGTCGGGAGGCTCCGGGGAATAACCAGAGCGAACCTAACACCTGCCAAAGAGATGCCTCGGTCCAGGCGTGACACTGCCTCGCTGCCCAGTAGAGGGGTTTGTGGTCAACCCTGCACGCAGCCACCTCAGACCTGCCTGGCAGGTCACAACCCAGTGCACTTTCAGGCTGCTCTTTTGATGAGAGGAGCCACAGCAGGACACAACCTGCCCTTCTGTGTCCTCCCCTGGCACTGGACATTTCCTCCCAAACTTCTCCGGGGAGCCTTGGTGGCTTCAGAGCCTGCCAGATTACTGAGAAAAGTTCCCCGTGAGCCCAAGGAACGCACTGGCTGCTCACAGCGATGCCCAGCTCCTTCTGCACGGTGCTGCACAGAATTGACTTCAAAGGGCTCTGCTCGCTCAAGGGCAATGAATGGTAGGCAGCGGGCAGCTCTTACACACTTTGCTAAGATATCTCAAATTAGCTCCCAACAAGGATCGGAGGAAATGTAGCAGCTGCTTACCTCCAACTGGCACTCAATCAGACTCTCCATGTCCCCAGCATTTAGTGTCTTCGACTAGGCAAGAAAACAAAGATACTATGTGAGTAACTGAATGCTGTGGTTTAGAAATCAGAGCTTTTCAAAGTCACTCTGTTGACAGAGCTGAAACAATAAAGACACTCACGATATTACAGCTGCTTAACACTTTCATTAGGAGTTTGATCGGGGGAGCTCTGGACACTCTGGTTTCCTTCGGTCCTTTTGTTTGCCTGTTTATTGAACAGGGAATGGACAAAGAAAGAGCTTTTTAAAACTGCACCCTTCTTGTCTTTTTCCCCTGCAAGCCAGTCTAACATTTGAGTATGATCCTGAACCAGCAAGAAATCCCACACAAGTCAATCATAAAGCCCTTCTCTGGGAGGCACTCAGCCCTGCTGCTCTATCTGCCTCTTGATTAAAACAGAATAAAAGCAGCTTTCCATTTTTAATCCATGCAAAAAATGAACAAGTGGTGACAGCTACATGAGGTTGTTGTTAATCTGCAAACACAAGGCTAAGCAACTCAGTCAGGTCTGCCCACGAGCTACACTTAGCACTGGGTGCACCTCTCCTCCATCTATATTTCTGTACATCTCTGTACAGCTGCATCTCCAGCACTCCACCAACTTCAACCGCGATGCCACAGATTTAATCCCAGGAAGTACTTACCCAAGGATTGAGTCCAGCCAGAGTTCCTTCACCTCCCTTGAACTGCAGAGGAAAGGAGAAACAGCATCACTCCCCACTGCTACTAATCCTTTGGACGGAGGCAGGCGACTAAACAGTTCTACCCCACGTGTGCTGCCTTATATACGCAGAAGGGGAAGGTGGAAATTCACGGACAGGAAGAAGCATCATGGGGCAGGACTGCGACACTATGAAAGTTCTGGCTTCCTCTTTCCTTTTAGAGGAGTTACTTTTTTTTCTCTTAAAGAAGAAGAAAAAAAAAAGCAGCCCTTGTAGCTGTTATGGATGGAAAAGATGAGACACTTGCCAGGTAAAGGTTCCATCTAGCATCACCAGCGTGAGGTGGGATGTGCAGAGGGGACTGCAGTGTGGGCAGCTTCTCCTTACCGTTAAAGGGCAGTGGGTGCAGTCTGTCCTTTCACTGCTCAGACACCTTAGATTTTGCAGTTTAAAGATGTACCACCAGATCAAGTTACACTAAGAATAGTTTAAAGATGGGGGAGTGGAATAGCCAAGATTCAGAGAAATGTTTTTGTATGTTTCTTAAAAAACTAATGGCAACAGTTACTGTCTGCAAGCAGATGTAGACACACACTTGGCCAGTGCCAACTAGTTCTTGAGAATCTAAGCATTGGTCTTCTATAGAAGTGGTGTTATCTAACATTTTAGTAATGTGTGACAATATGTAATAAAAAGTCTTGATTAAAATATGTCTTAGTAAGAATTATGTAATAATAAGTAATAAAGTTTAATTCAACTGAAGAGATCAAAAAATCCAGAAAAAATCTACCTCTGCTCTACCTGTACCTCTTCAGGGTCTGTTGCTAACTCCCCCTCACCTGGGCACATCAGGAACATAAGGACAACAGTACTCACTCTACCAGGCCAGCATGAAAATTCATCAACATTTGATGTTAAATGCATGATATTAGTTCTACTGATTCATCGACAGAGGCAAATTACAACCCGGTATTCTGGGTACCAGTCTTTTGATCTAGTGAAAAAGAGGGGCTAAGGCTGAGAATCAAAGGATTGGGAACATTTCAGCGGTGGGTTTAGATGGAAAGCACGCTTGTAAAACTGTGGTCTCTGCTGCTTCCCCTGATGGATTCTCTGTTTCACGTGTGCAGGGGCCGAGGCTGTGTTGTAGCACAGCTTTTTGCAGATGCACCTTACGGCTACATCCGCTGCTGAATTCACCCTGCAAGCTGTTGTTTGCTTAACCACATCAGACCTGGCCCCTGTGGTGTTGACCCCAGGTTGTCATGCAAAAGAGACAGGCGGACTCAGCTCGCTTCTGTTTGGCAGAAATCCAAGGTTCAAAATTCACTTTTGGTTAGACAGAGATGTCTCTAGAAGGGCAGATGGAGAGCTGCCCTGCTTTTGCAGGGGGAGATGCTATAGATGACCTTTCTAGTCCTCCCGAAGCCCATCATTTCCATGCTTCTGTAGAGACACCAGTCTGTAGACTTGTTTAGGGCTGAAACTTACAGGAATCTCAACCGATTACTCTGCAGCCCTGTGCATTTACCGCTGATCTTTCACTCATTGTTGTAACTGACTTTTTGTTAATTAGCAGTCCCGTGACATTTGTCATTTCCCTACTAAACTCCATGGGCCGGTGCAGAAATATTGTCGTCCTGCATTGCGTTCTCCTGAGAATTTCTTCCAAGGCTCCCTGGCAGCTGCAGCACCCCTGCTGATAGTCCCAGCAGGATTTCTGGGACAAGGGGCATCTGTTCTTCAGTACGTCTTTTAAATGTGTATCTAGACGTATCTCAGAGGCTTAGGGGACCTATGGAATTCTGTTCTGCCTTGCCCTCACTTCCAGCACTGTACACAGACATATTTCTGAGCTCAGTCTGTTGCACGGGTTTGATCTGGAAAATGTGCAACTCGTGAAGAAAATGGGAGTTTAATGGGTGGTGATTAGCCAAGCCAGAAGCTTAGATTACAAACAGGGCACAGCTGTACACAGGGCATAATACTTTGAATTTCCCAGGAGGAAAAGATACAGTAATGAGTGGTGTATTGGTAGCACATCACCCGACTGTCCGTTGGCACACACTGCTGTATCTCTATCTAATTAGTTCCCATCTGTTAACAGTTGTGGGGATATAATGGCCATTGCACGTGGAAGGTACGGGCCTGCCTGCCCATGTGGAAAACAACTGAGGGATTTTTACCCTCCTGGTATCATTCTTTTTTTTTATAGCTCTTTTGTGATGTGTATCACAAACACTTAATTTGTTCTAAAATTACTTCAAAGCAGCTTATTTCATTATAAACAAACATGCCCCACCTGAATAGCAGGCATCCTAAAAAGCTATGGCTTGGCAGAGAACGAAGCTTGGCTGTATTTGTGAAAAGCGGTAAGCAAGTATGTGCTGGCTCCTGTCGAGTGTTGAGCACCGCAGAGCTGCGTGCGGGGTCCCGAGGTCAGAAGAGGTGCTGCGCCAGGTGGGTGAACACAAGAGGACCAGCACAGCGTGAGCTCCCATCACACCAACCAGCCAGAGCAGCTTCACAGCTTCCTCCACCAGCGTGTAAAGGGTAAAACATAGACGTAGCTCCCAAAGCTGGTCTCCGCGCTGAGTATTAACAGAAAAGGCCTGTCGTATGGGTTCATATGGGATGTTTACAAATGAAGTCTGCTTTGCAGACTCAGAGCCTTCGCTATGGTCTGCCCCTTACCCCGTGATGCATTAGAGCAATGTGCTTACTCTAGGTGGTTGCCCTAGGGCAAGCAGAATAGATGGCAGATGGCTTGGGCACACCTGGAGGTGTTTGCAGGTGATGTGTTTCTCCCAAGCCATCCCTGACTAAGTGAATGCATTCTCCTTCGAAGACACAGGGAAGTTTACATGATGATCAGAGCGAGGAAGAGGGAGTGGACTTACAAGAGTTTTGTAGGACTAGCCTGTGTACGAGCTCTTCCCCTCCTGTACATCAGGTTGCTTCCCTCAGTTCTGCTGAAGTGCTTTGCATTCACTGGAGGGAAAGCAGGCGCGAGGAGGTCCTGCAGAGGAGCGGGTCCCGGCTGGATCCAGGCCTCTCGGACTGGGTGTGCTCCTCGAGGTGTGACACATTTTCCTTATAGAAGCCAGCACATCAGATTGATGGCTCTGCTTCCCCCCTGGGCCCAGGTAGCCCCTTTCCCCCCCTGCCCCAGCCATGGCTGCTTTTGTGGTCCACTCTAAAGCACTTTGCCCAGCCAGTTTTTGGAGAGAAGGCTTATATAGTGCTTGCTGCCAACACAGACCAAATGGTGATTTTCCCCTTTCTGTGAGCTACAGTCAAACTAGGCATTTTCTCCCTTTTCGCCTCTCCCTCAGTCCTCTTACACTGTGGCTCAGCGAGGACTCCAGATCGTAGCAATGAAGGGGCAGCATCAGTCGGGAGGAGAAAGGAATCGGGAGCTGAGAGTAAACAAGAACAAATCTGCTGTGGCTGGAAAGCGTCTATTGTCTTCTCTCCTTATCAAACCACAAATGGGAAAATCCCAGCCACAGCTCACTTTTGTTTATTTCTACTACTTTCGCAAATGTTTGACATGATGGCTCTTAGAAATGAGGGAGTGTGTGAATGAATCCTGAAACTCGCCTTCACCCTGTTGTCACACAAGCGGGGAGGCAGCCGGAGCGTAGCTGGGACAAGCGTACAGCAGGACGCGCAGGAAGCAGTGACTCTTTCAAGTCCATATAGAGCAGAAACAGGTTTCATCAGTGCCTATCTGTGTGGACAAGCGGTTGTATTCCAGTTTTGTCTTCACTGGCACAACCGCGGTCTCCCTGGGGGATGATAGGAACATTTACCTAAATAAGGAAAGCAATTATGCTAAAGTCAGAGAGTTGTTGGGTGGGTTGTGGGGTTTTTTTGGAAAGGAACCCTCTTCATGATCTGTCCACAGACTCAAAGAACAGGGTGGCATGTGAGTTGCTGAGAACAGGTCACATTTCTACACGTCTTCTAAAGGCAGCTCTAATTTCCTACTGCTCTCCAGAGTGTCTTGCAGATTGCATAGGCACGGTTCAGGGTTTGATCACAGAAAAGACAGTGGTCTGAGCTTTAATCAGGCCAGTCCAGACCCCCTACCTGTAACAGTTCAGAAGGAAATCCATCAACCTAGCTGGTGCTGAACTCCTGCAGGTTTAGTCAGGTGGGACCTGGGCTCATGCTAACCCTGCCTTTGGAAAGCGAAACCCACTGTCAGTTTTTCCTAGCCCTGTTCCACTGATCTCTATCCTTAATCAGATATCAAGGTTAGATTGCAATGTGGGTTAGATTGCACCACCCTTCTGCACACTCGGTTACTATTGCATAGGAAAAAGTTACAAATCAAAAATAATACCATAAATACAGCCCAAGGTGTATTCTGTGCCCTTCCCACACCCTTATGGTTGAATTTGCTTTGCAGGACGGTTTGTTTATTCTTTCATGGGTGCTTCCCTCGAGATTAACTTGGCAGCTCTAAAGCTTTTTACT